AGTCTTAAGTGAGAAGTGAAACAAATCGACACACGAATTGGATCGAATCGGAGGGGTGAGTGAGTTCGCTCCGTTGTTGGATTAACCTCGAGAGTTGTGTAGGTGTTTTTATACGAGACTACCGGTCTGGTTATGTTAATCGGGTTGTGCCGGTCGCCAACCGCCGCACTGCCAGTGACAAGCTCTCTGTGAAAAACCGCTAATCGTCGCGCTATCAGCTCTCGACGAGGGTGATAGCGCGACACGATGACGTGACCCGTGTCGGAAGTCACATTATCCGATTAGCCCCGTTGAATGCGGGCGAAATGGCATATCATTGAAACGACTTACCCCGAACTTATTCTTTCGTGTTTGATCTACACCGAGTTGAAAGAGCAGGTGTCAACCGATCGGTCGGGTAATCCGCAGATAATCCTTGTTGCACTTGTTTTTCGAATTTTTCAGATCATCATGCAAAGTTTATGTTAACCTGAAAAACTGGTCATGCTTTGCCGACAAATTATAATAGCTTACAAAAGCCCTAAAGACACACTCCACATTTGGGTCATTTGGGTGAAAACCCAGTCGGAGGATATTATTATACACATATACAACCTTCGCCTCACAAAATTAGGCTAAAGCGCTAAGGCTTCAAAGTTCCCAAGGTTCATGGGTTTCTCGATTCTAGAGCGGGAAACCCGTAATCTCGCGAAGTCCTTTGAGAATCGAGATCACATGGATCTGTATAGACTCTCACTCAGTACTAGGGTCTCCCATCTGATGCTTTCCAAACCTATTATGGGTCTACTATCCTCTTGTATCGACGCCTGCCTCTCCTTCACAGCCGAATAAAAAGGGTGGCCTTATTTGCAGTGCTTTTGCTGGCTCATTTTCTTTTTTCTCCTCACTACCAGTCCACTTCACCCCACGAGTACTTTCACATTTTAAGCTACCTAAACACCATACCGGTTTGACTGTGGGCTGTCCTCTTGATGTATCGTCTACGGTATCTGCGTGCTCCCATGGTCTATTTCATAAGTTTTGCCTTTGCATTGGCAACCAAATTAGAAAGTAAATAATGTTGGTGTCCATTTACGCTGAAGCATTATACAGGGAAAGCTCATACCAAATTCAAAGCTCCACCAGCAAGCCCTGAAGATGATTGATACAAAAAAAAGCTCATGGCTGTTAGTAAACACCGTGGCCATGCAACGCGGTACTTTCGGCGACCAGGTGTGTTCGAACTTTATTTCTGCAGCTCCAGTCTAAGTTCTATCGCGGAAGACTTTATGGCTGCGCCTCGCCACGTTACACTTTATTCCGTAGTTACAAAGATCGATGAACTCGGGGAAGCATGGTTGAACTGCCAAGGCGCTTGAAGAACACATTTCGAACTTGACTGCAGAGGGTAGCTGTATAGGCAGGGCCGCGAGTGACTAGGATTTCGAGAATTCCTTTCCATTCATTGCAAAAAAGTTAGAAGCCATGCGGTCGTTGACAAACTGCTTTCTGGGATAGCTACACGGTTTTTGCGTTTCCAGTTTCGCAAGTCATAATGGCACTTGCCATGCCATATAGCCTATACACTGACTCCAGGGCGTTTCAGCTGATGGACAACCTGGATGTTTCATATAAGTCTGATTTACAAATAATTGGCCCCATACTACAGAAGAAGAGGCCAGCACGACCGGACACAGCGACGATCCCGACTACCCCTGTCCTGGTGACCAGCACCACTTTCCCATACACAATTAGACCTTGTAATGCCTTGTGGCGTTATAATTATGTAAGTTTCAGCTGATTTCTGAGAGGCTTAGAAATTACCTAACTTCCTTCCCTCAATTGTGGGAGGCGCTCATTAAGGTATTAGCGCTGGTGGTTGCTGTACGTTAAATGCGGACATTTAGGGATGCGCAGTGCCGTTGAAATGCTCAAAAGACTTAATTGAAGAGCGGACGAAGTTTGGGCGTCCATTCAAAATTGACTGAAGCATCCTGAATTCTTGCTGTATCAGCTGTTTATCCCTTGATAACCTTCGTCCCCTTCTCTCACCCCTCCCCAAGCCCCCCCCCCCCCCGTAGCAGTGACGTATTTTCTGGGTTTCGGGGAGGGTAAAGACAGAGAGTGTAGCTCGTTTAAAAAGGACTTAAGCGAAAGTGGTCTACGGTAGATCCGAAATATAGCACTTTGGAAAGGTTTCATAGGTCGGTTATCTGGGGTATATTAAGTGGTTAAAAAAAACTACGGGTGTCCTTACGTGTTATCCAATCATTTCTATGGGGAGCATTCCCGATAAAATGTTCGGCATAGGCGCAGAACAACAATGGCCACATTGTAGCGCTCCCGTCAGCGTGAGATTTTCAACAGTTGGCTGAACTTTGAGGCCGGCCGTTTAATTATATGTTATTGGTTATTCATTTCTTTTGCTGTATCCTATAATACCGCCGCAATGGTTACGATTTTTTGTAAGAAGTTATCACCGTATGTGGCACTTTCAATCGTATGTTTGCATAGCGGTTTGTGAGTGTCTGTCTCGTTGACGCTGATGTGGCAGCGACAATGACATCAATATCGATGAGGATATTTGCACAGAATTCTGAATTGCGTACATAAAAAAGTGCGAATAAGATAAACGGAACGTACGACTTTCTTCCGGTTTTAGTCACCAGTTGTGAAAAGAAACGAGTCATAAAAAAGGGGGGTACAGCCCGAATCGGGCAGTTTCTCATTCGTTCTGGTGGATGAGAATATTTGTTGAAATAAACGGCTAGGTTCGTTCACTAATGCCGGGCAAGCACGCGGTTCGAGAAAATATTACGAAACCTTTCCGGTCGAAGCAGAAGGAAGGGGTAGGCTGTAACAAGTGCGCCTACTGTAATTCCAATGTTTGGCGGAGGATGGGATCCCAGCGCAGGCCGTAACATTTATCGTTCAGCCTTTTTACATTACCCCAAATCTAATCCTGTTCAACGCCGTCGATTAATGTACGAGGGACACCCTGTTTCCAAAAACTAGATGCACGTCGAATGCAGACCATACAACACAAGTGACGACGGTCTCAGCAAAATGTAAATGTTTCTGCCAATGAAATGATTAGCCGGTTGCAGTTGTATTCTATCAGTTGTCACTAATTACAACTATCATTTACCAACTAATCAGCTATCACTATAAGTCACTAGATACCAAATTTACTCGAAGGTCATGTCTGCACCTCAGAAAAACCGCGAGTTCGACCCTGCCGAGGCTTAAAACCATGCCTGCAAAATTGCAAAATTGGTTCTCAGTACCAGCGTCAGGCCCAGGTGACAGGCCGGCCGGCTGATGAAGACCCCCGTCACAACAAATATGTCTAAAGTCGAAAAAGGAATCAGTGATAAAGCTAGGACGTCACCCGGAAGTGGCGCGCAGAACCCCCGCCCGAGTTCTGTGGTCAGTATGCGAGGGCTACCGAGGAGGGAACGGCCTCGGCCAAAGAAGCTAGTTCGAATTGGAACTGTGAACGTAGGGTAGGGGAACTGGAAGGTCCCGAGAGGATGCCGGATGCCTGAGAACAAGTACTATCGTCCCCATCTTCAAGCAGAAGGGTGACGCGATGGACTGCTCCAACTACCGCGGCATCAAGTTGACTGCGCATACCATGAAGTTGTACGAGCGCCTGGTCGACTCGAAACTGCGGGACCTTGTCCAGATCTCCCAGGAACAGTTCGGGTTCATGCCCGAAAGGTCTACAACGGATGCCATCTTCATCGCAAGGCAAGTGATGGAGAAGTATCGAGAAAAGCGCCGACCCTGCTACCTAGCCTTCCTCGACCTGGAGAAGGCGTTCGACCGGCTACCACGAGCGGTACTATGGAGAGCGCAGGGAACGGAACGTGCCAGAACACCTGATCTCCCTGGTGAAGGATATGTACGATGGGGCTAAGGCATCCCATACGGCCTAACGAAGGAAGTGGACATCACGGTCGGGTGCACCAAGGGTCAGCTCTGAGCCCGTTCCTCTTCTTCCTAACACTAATGTTCCTGCTGAAGGGGCTCATAGAGAGGACCACTGAAGACCATCCTCTACGCTGACGACGTCGCCTTGATAGGAGATACTAGAGAGGGACTTCAAGCCAAGGTGCAGAAATGGCAGAAAGTCCTGGCAGAGAGTGCGGCGTACGACGGAATGTCAAGAAAACTATTGGCCCAAACAACTATCTGCAGGTAGTCACTGCCTACATAAGCCCCTCTTACACAGATGGCAGTTATTAGTTTCTGCGCTGACCTTCTTCGATTGTCCTTTTTTCTGTACGGTAGGCCTGGGATGCTGGAAGCGCGACTCCTTTTTTTTCTTTTTTTTCAGCTGTTATACGAGTTTAGCGATTGTTTGTTTGTTTGTTTTTCGTCTGAACATACTTGTACCGGACTAACACCTTCTGCCCTGTTGTAGCGCACCATTGAGTGCATAAATAAATAAAAAATAAATAAATAAAACCACAGTTGCTGAGCTCCAAAGAGGTTGCAGAGTTCGATCGTATAATGTATGCTATCGCGTCTGCGATGGTATGGGCATGTGCTAAGGAGGCCACAGGACCATCCGATAAGAACAGCGATGGACTTCGAAGTACAAGGCAAGCGACCGCGAGGAGCCCCGAAGAAAAGGTGGAAAGACGTAATCAAGAAGGACCTAGGTGTGTCGCGAGTATGAACTATGCTATATGTAGGTGAAACGCTGCTAATGTTACAAACGAATTTAATTTGCATTTATAGCAAAAACAACTCAAAGTATATAAATTTTTTTATTAAATTCGAATAAATATCTGTCAAAGTGAGATGTTTGTGATTATGCAGGCACAGGAACAAGGCGAATGGAATCCGTAATACACAAATAGAGGAATGCTTTGGTAATCGTGTCAGTGACATCTTCATTCAACAGTGACCGACTTCGCCAAATTTCGTGGGCGATCCACCTGAAGTTAACAGCAGTCAAGGTAAAGCTCTTCAGATTAAAAAAAAACTTTATTTTTTAAAATTTATTCAGCTTAAATAACCGTACAATATGGCCATTTAAGCTCAGCAATGTGGCTAAGGCTAGCAGCTGGAAGTGGAATAACAGTGAGAATGTTTTGTACACAATCGACAGTCTTCGGTACTCTTAAGACATGCTCCATGCCAGCCAAATCCTGAAACAAATTATTAATTTGATATGGACTCATAAAAAACTTATAGAAGCGCTAAAAGTGTCCTCATTTATTCAACAAAAGCGAAAATTCAGATTTGAAACCTCACATTTTCCGGCACTGTCTTGTCAGCAATAATGATCGGCGCTCCACCTCTGGCTACCACTTGTTGTAAGGCGTTCAGCGACTTCTAAAAAGTGCATAACTTGTGAAACTTATTTTGCGAAGTAAGCATATCTTCAACAGAAAAAAAACGTAAAGATTTGCCGCGCATTTCATTATAAATTAACCCATTGGCGACAAGGCGATTTTTTATATTTTCGAAAAATACGTCGTAATGCACCAAATAGTGGAGGTCTGTGATGGTCGTCTGTCTATTCACGTCTGTCACGAAAGATTCTCATCGCAGACGTGCATTACCTCAAAATCCGTCTGAAGAGGCCGGGTGGAGCTTGAGCTGCGAGTAAAATTTGCAAAGAAAACCAAAACGTTGATGTTCTAATTGGGTACCACCGTAGATGGAGAGCGACGAAAGAGGTAGTGCCAAGGGTAAAGCGACAATTCCTAATTTGAATCGTGAACAACTAAAGAGACCTGTAAAAGTGGTAAAGATGTGCATAGGGCTGCAAGGTTAGATTTGATAAATCTACCACGATAGACGGACCTCCAAGCGAACGGTGCGCTTACGTAGAGTCACAACCAGGCATAATTTGTACGATAGAACATGTAATTTAGAGAAAATGAGTGTTGAGCAGATACTCTATCTACTCAATAACATGAAATAAATCCCGGACTGGGCGGGGCATGCACCCTAGTGGGCAGAGCTTGCGAAGATACCCACTATTAATTGATTAGAGATTTTCGATTCGTTTGGTATATTACTACCTACCGAATATACTGTGTCCTTGCAGATGATCATGCAAATGCGTAAATTCTCATCAACCATCGCTAATGGACCGTGTTTCAATTCACCGGACATTATTCCTTCGCAATGCATGTAAGAAAGTTCCTGAAAGGTAAGAAATTTAGAAATTTGGTTTCTTCGTACAATAAATTTATTTTCGTACAAGTTTTTAGTAAATTTTTTATGTATTTTTGGTGGTTTAATTTTTCGGTACAATAAATTTATTCCAACCATTCCAACCATCACCTGTTGTTGACGCTAGTAGAAACGGCATTGGTTCTAGTTACGGTGTCAAGAGCGAACACTAGGGGTGGAATGATTTATTCAAGAGAATAGCCCCTTATACACACTCTCTCACTATCATGCCATTCCTCTTGATCCTTCTTCATTCCTCACTCTCGCACGTTCGCTCACACCCCCTCACACCTCCCCCTAGTGACCTTACGGTCACTCATCATAGGAGGTCTACCGTGTTGACTCTTAGTACACGACAAAACACTTGAACCAAAACTCATTTATTCATCGATTTATTGCCCAACCCCCGAGGGTTGAGCGGCCCCCGCGTCTTCATCGCTATGCCCGCTACTAGAGCGGCTGCGATTCAGACGCCTCGGGGTCTCTCGGCCGCGATAGTTCGGGCGGCCACGGTGGCTTCCGCTTCGCCTAGAGCGGCTAGCTCGGCTTCGACTAGAGCGGCGGGCCCGGCTTCGACTTCTGCTCCTGGAGTGACTTCTAGGGGATCGACTTCGCCTCGAGCGACCGGACCGGCTTCGACTCCTGCTCCTCGAACGGCTTCGGGTGGATCGGCTGCAACTGACTGCTTCCTTGAGTCTCCGGATTGCCGCCCACAGCGGTTCATTGCGCTGTGGACGGCGTTTGCCTCCACGTGATCTCGGTGGGGCCGACGGCGGTGCCACGCACGACACGACCGTTGGCCACCCCACCACCGGCGGTGTCTGGACAGCTGGGGCCGCTTGTGGCCCGGCGATCAGAATCACTGGCGGCACGGCTTGCGAGGCTTGTCCCGCCACTCCTGGTATCGTTCCTTGAGCTGGGACGGGGACGGCAAACATAATTGAGGGTCCATACTCCTCAGAGCCCCTTTTATAGGGCCTCGAGTGATCTCGTTTGTTTTTGTTTTCCTCTTTCCCTGCTATCCCTATCATATTTATCTTCTTCCGCTTCCTATTTCCCAAGAAATCTCATCCTGATCGCCAGTTACGGTGTCAAGAGCGAACACTAGAGGTGGAATGATTTATTCAAGAGAATAGCCCCTTATATACACACTCTCTCACTATCATGCCATTCCTCTTGATCCTTCTTCATTCCTCACACTTGCACGTTCACTCACACCCCCTCACAGTTCTCTAATAAAAATTATTAGTAAGTGAAAACGTGAATTACCTTAATTTTTAACGCTCCTTCAAGACATGTAGCAAAGTTGAAACCTCTTCCCATAATCAACAGTGACTTCTCCTTATAAATCTCTTCAGCAATTTTCAACACTTCTTGATCCAGAGTTAGCACTTCACGGATCAAATCTAATAAGGCACAGAAATTTCTTCTCAATAAATCAATTTTACATGTTGCCTCTTTAGTACCTACCTGGCAAACTATTCATTGCGTTTATAATCTCTCGTCTTCTGTTGATCATTGAAATACGGTCGTCCGATAGAACTAATGCAAACATAAGAAGGGCCAAAATTTGCGAAGTGTAAGCCTACAAAGATGGTTGTGAATACTCCAAAAAAATTCATGGATGAGAGTCGTCCTTATACAAGACTACGATGTAATACGAACCTTGGTGGAAGCGACACCGATCTCAGGACCTGCATTAATGTGTATTCCACAGTGCGATTCACGGCAGATCGACGACCCTACTGTATTTGTTACTCCAATGAGAAGGGCGCCTCTTGGCTTACAGTATCTGAATTTTCAATTCAAGACGCAAATTGCATCTCAATGCCTCGGCGATGATTTTGAAAACGATGCATTCGAACAATCGAAATTACACGGCACACCGGAAGAAAAGGTCTCTACTTAATGATCCGTCCCTCTCTCCAATAACAAAGCTTACCTAAGGGCCATCAGGGTATCAGCTGTTTCACCGCTTTGCGAGACGAAAATGCAGACGTCATCGCGGAAAATTGGAGTCTGACGATCAAGGAAATCTGACGCCAATTCCAGCACTACGGGTAGCTCCGAAAGCTCTTCCAAAATCTGGAAACGAATCCAAAAATCCATAATCGAATTTCACTTTGCAAAACCGATTCTGTAGTTTTATATTGAGAATTCTTGAAAGAAACAACTGTACCTGTCGACACGCTATAGCCGAATTGTAAGACGTGCCACAAGCAACCATTATTAACCGGCGACACCTCTTAATATCCGACACGTAGTCCTGAAAATTGTTATTTCAATAATTTCCTTCAATACCAATGAAATTAGACCAGAAATTAAAAACAACATTCGATGCCTTTCTTTCACGCCACCTTGTCTACTGTACTAGAAAACTTAGCGAAGAAGAAATACTTTCAAGCACATACAATACTAAAGCCTTAAACTTGCGAATATCCTTGAAGTTTCATTTGTACTCACCTTTATTCCACCCAGCACAACTTGACCGCTGGGCAACAGGCGACCGCGCATCGTGTTCACCACCGAGTCAGGTTGTTCGAAGATTTCCTTAACACATATGTTTGGTAAGAAAAAATAGAAAGAAATCTAATAAGGATCTGAGAGTAATCACCTAACCTTCTGCATGAAAGTCTTGAAGTTGCCCTTCATGATTTGCTGCAGTTCTAGATTCAGATTCTGCACCTCACGTGTCTGATCTGATGTGCTGTCCGACGCTTTTCGAGTGAAACGATGGATTGTGAGCGCTGGAATACTTCTCTAACCCACTACTGTTACTGTGAACACGAATCAGACTTGCCACAAGTACGCTCTTCCCTTCTTGCATGTTTCAATATGTTTGAGTAGACAATACTAAATGTGTAACATACAGTGCATTAAGAATGTCGTAGCAAGAAAGGCCAATATATTTCCTTCCGGAAGGGTGTACTTGTGCAGATGTGCGTATATTCTGCTTGAGAAGATGGCGTTGTTGAAATTTTTTTGCGACTTTCACGATGTCTCAGAAAGTCCGTGTTTTTTTTGAACCCCCAAACTGGGAAGGAAAATGCCCCCGTAAGGCCGGATCTAAGAACTTTGCGATCGAGATTCCTACTGTTCCTCGATCCCTGTAACGCTGCGCGAACCAAGCGGGACGGCCTAAGCGAACCGCTCGATTTGCAAAGTCTGACATCGGCGGCGTGCGCCGGGATGTTACTCACACAGCAATTAAAGCTGAGGTCATCACACTTCACACAATGATGACAGCCGTTTTCTGCCATCATAGATACCAGTTGGCCCCGCACGCATTGCGCGCACAACACAGATCTGCGCGAATTTTGATGGCGCAACAAAAATCTTCAAATTTGGCTTGATACACCACGAATATCTGAATTCCGCCCCCCAATAGCATTTGGCCCCCCTTCCTTTCGCCGACCTCTACCCCTTTTTTCACCGGTCTCTGGGACCTCTTGGAACCAAATTACGACACTTTTGGCAAACTCCGCCCACTTATGTGCATGCTCCGCCCACTAATAGCAGTTTGACCTCCTTTCCTTCGCCGACCTCTACTCCCTTTTTCCCAGCCTCCCGGACTTCTTGGAGCCGAGTTATGAATTTTCGTCGCAAACTCCGCCCACTTTGGTCATGCCCCGCCCACCATTGACAGCTGGCCTCCACTCCTCCACCCACCTCCATCCACCTTTTCCGCGCCTCCGGGACTTCTTGGAGCCAAGTTATGAATTTTCGTCGCAAACTCCGCCCACTTTGGTCAGGCCCCGCCCACCATTGACAGCTGGAACTCATTCCACTCCTCCATACACCTCTATCCACCTTTTTCCGGCTCTTTAGGACTTCCCCGACCCGAATTATGAGGGCTTGTAGAAAATGCTGTACACTTCAGAGCGCGCCCCGCCCATTCTGGGCGGGCCTCCGCCCACGTCATGTATGCAGGAAACACCTTAGACATTGCTCCCTTACACCAAATTGTTTTCTGCTCTGTAGGCTTTCTCCCAACCGAGTTATGAAATTTTTCATAAAGCACTGCTTTTTTGGAGAACGCCCCGCCCACCGGGGGTGGGTCTCCCTAATTCGATGTGACTTACCAATGCACACCTTAACCCACTTTTTGGCCCAGTTTCGAGGCTGTTTTGGTATAGTACCTGAATTATAAAATCTTGGTCGACAGTACAACTCACTTCGATGCACGCCACGCCCACTGTGGGCGGGGCTCCGCTTAGCTGATGTGTGTTTTATACTTCTCGAGACCTGGGCCACCCAACCCACATTTGACCCGGTCTCTCCAGGTGAATCCCCAGGAGCTAGGGAATTTCGTGACAGACATACAGACGACAGACGACAGACGAAGCGCCTTCATATAGTAAGTAGACTTCACAGTACATGGCCGAGGTATACTTTGAAGGTTTTAGTAAAATCGCTGATTGAAATTGCTTGAAACTAATGTGGTAGGAGAAAAGTAACAAGTCAAAGCTCATAAAAAATGCACACCTCCATCCTCCACGAAAGCAACGTCATCGTCTTCCAAAAACAGTACTTGCTTGGTGTGCTCAATGATAGCAGCCGCGTCTGACGCAACGAAGTATTCAACCTAAAATAACACTTTAGTAGTGCACTCTCAAAACTGTTGACTAAGCGCCCTGTTGGCCTGCAGCCAACGCCCCCCCCTCCCCCACTTTCTTCACGATTTGGGGCGCGGCCGCGGCGAGCGCGGCCGAGTCGATAGTGCCCGCGAACTGTGTGGGTAAATTTGAAAACGCATCACCACCACAGTTCGCGGGCACTATCGACTCGTCCGCGCTCGCCGCGGCCGCGCCCCAAATCGTGAAGAAAGTGGGGGAGCCGCAACCAACCTAGCCATTTGCTAAAGAAGTTGCCAAAAAAAGCAAAGCAAAGTTGGCTGCTATGCGACAGCGCGCTTCATTGCTACGTGATAGGAAAGCACCTCGAGATAAATAGATCGAAAAAAAACCTACCTCCCATTCTTCAGAATCAAATGGTCGCACATTGGTGGTGGAATTATCGCGTTCCTTCAAATGTGCAGATCGCATACCTGAAGAAAGATGTACTCAAAGTAAACAATAAACAGTATTGAAGCCATCGAAAACTGGGAAGGCCAGCTCCCGAACGCGTTGCGACCGCACGCGTCCTAGGTACGCTGAATCCACTGTGCTTACCAGTAGAGAGATCCAGTACATTCGGAGTGCCAAGGAACGATTCATCATATGAAGTGTGTCGCACTGAATAAAAAAATAAACGTTGACTAGCCGAGCATTAAAAAAAACAAAAAAGCACATCCCTCGACAGCACACACAAAATGAAAGCTATCGATTAGTGAAGTACAATAATAAGCGATAGATGAGAAGTAGCTTACAGTGAGTAGCTTGCGATGAGACAATACGGCGAGCTGAAATGCCAAAGCTTGAACAAGAACGCGAAACCCGAAAAATAAGCCAAGTCAGACAAACACAAGCTCGACTTGGAACAAAATGAGTTAATATAATCAAAACAGGTATTTAATTACGGTTATTGTCGGTTACTGTGGTAGACGGACAAGCAACTGAACAGTGCACCAACCTGACAAATGTCTTCCCCAGTAAGAACTTTCTGGACGTTTTCCCCATCGTAAAAATTATATGAACCATAATTTATTATAGAAAAGGTTCCATGGACGAGACCATTTATTCCACGGCTTTTACTGTGTAGTGCAAACTTGGCAGTGATTCTTCAATATTCCTATTCCCCGTAGCTGAGCTTGTCGCAATTGCAGACTCAGCATCAGAAGCTTGATGGTCTCAAAAACCAGTACCATGTGTACTTTTTCGAGGCTTTGATGCCATTAAATGCCTATCCCTCACTATGCCCGGCCACAAGAAAAAAGTTTAACCTCTCCATTTCCTAATGATAGCTCTTCTTACAA